TTGAAACATTCTTTACGATCGAAAAAGTTTATATTGATTTAAATGACGTGCCATGAAATAGAAGTGTAATGTTAAGAGTGTTTAAGGATATACAATAATTTTAATATTTAGGGAAGTTTTAAGAAACTTATGACACTGCATATAATATTGCAAAGTTACTAGATTAAACTCGAAAATTATTTTGAATCAGGCGTTTCTCGTATATTTTTGAATGCTGAAAACAATGTCGCAAATCACACAAATTTCAAATCTGATCAGCATGAGATTTCTGAAATAATTGAAGTTTAAATTGCATTAAAAATGACTTGTGATATTTAACATTTTTTTATAAAAAAAATTAACGTTATATTAAAATTCTGATCAGAATCAATAAATATCTTGTCCAGCTTTTAAAATGCATTTTTTAAATATTTACTTTTTACCATATTCTGAATTTTTATACGGAAGATTTAAATATAGAGATTTATTAACAATAAGACAGCATATTTCTTGCCTGTAATAATGAAGATATACATACATATATATATATTTATAAGTTGGAGATTTATAGTTATCGATACACATAGTGTAATGTTATCATATAATGAATTCTAATATTTATTGTACTTTTTATTATATTATATTATTTCGAAAATCTGACATGCTGACGAAATTTAACGAAATCGTTTTCAGAAGCCAAAAATTTATTAGAAACATCTTATCTATTTTAAAATAACAAAAAAGTTTTTTATGGACTAGTAATATCAAATATATAAAAAATATTTTTTGTTCTTTTTGTCATTGATTTTCTAACTAAATCTGTATATTGATTTTAGGTTTGATTTGTACTCTCTCTTTGATTGTACATTTAATTCTAAACATAATTGTTCCTAGAATTTGATTTGTTTTATGCCAATATAATTCTATTAATCTAGTATATTAATATAAAAGAAATATAATATTTTATTGGACTCTCTAATATAATTAACAATTTAATCTCGCTAATACAGGCAACTGAGAGTAATTCTACGCTGTTTTTGGTGCGCCAAATTAATAATAAGGAGAAGCCTGTCAGAGGTTGGTCAGAAATGTGACAAAAATTTAACGCTGCGAATTTCACAAAATCAAAAATCAGACGAATAATTATATCAAATTGAGGACGAACACATATGTACAAGGATAACAAAGGCGTTCAAACAAATGTACATTTTCAATCGGAAAGTTGGAAGAGGCTCATCCGGTATTTACGTATGAAAACTTTGTCGACGGATACACTCTAATGAATTATTTTGCTGAAGATGGTTCGGAAAGAGCTGAAACGTTCAAATAAGTAAGTCGAATATGATACAGAAACACATGCGAACAAATAATTTGTATGTATAGTAACAAATTAAATTATTAATTTGGCGCACCAAAAACAGCGTAGAATTACTCTCAGTTACAGTAGTATTAGCGAGATTAAATTGTTATTAATATAATATATTGTGTATATATATATAAGGTGTCCCATAAAAATTGTAAATAAGCTTAAGAATAGATTCCTGAAATTATTTTGAGACGGAAAGTCTCAAAACTAAAATGTTGAGAATATTATAATAGGTTTTTAATTCTAAGCATTTAAAGTTAGCGAATTATACCGCCTCAAGTTCGCGCGCTTAGATACAGCATAAAGCCGTAATCGCTCTACAGCTCATTTGTCACCTCTCTTGTTAATATCGATATAAGGATTACATATGTGAATATAAGATTGTTTTTGTTGATATTTCTGCAAACGATTGTGCAATAACATTTTCTTTTTTATAACATTTTTTTTATTTTTACATGATATATGAAGCTCAGATAATATTTTTTTCAGAAATTTGCTATCAATTTCATATCTTACGACTCGTAAGATATGAAATTAATAACAGATTTCTGAAAGAAATATTGCACAATGCGTTTGCAGAAATGCCAATAAAAACAATCTTGTTCAAAATAATATTCAAATATTATCAAATAAATAACATCAAAATTAAAAACGTCATTTTGCCATCAGAATGACAATACATAACGTCAGCTTGTTCGCTGGATGCAGCGTTCGCCTTTAGTATTGTGCCGCACAATACTAAATTGTGCCGCGAACAGTATAATTCACTAACTTTAAATTATAACCCAAAAACTATTATAATCTCAACATTTGGTATTAAACTTTTTGTCTCAAAATGATCTTATCAATGATCTCAATCTCAGAAATCTATCCTTAAACATTGTTATAATAGTTATGGAATATCCTATATATACACCCTGTATGTGTCCCATTTAAAAAAAACTTCGGATTATCTCTCGCAGTTATCGCAATTATCTCTCAAACAATTGTTTCAAATGGAACTTTATTACGAGGGAGACATTTTTTGATGGTTACAGATTTTCTTTAGGACAAATTTCTAAGATATTTTATGACTTAGTTTTTTTAAATGAAATTATATATTTTTTTTACATAATATGATTTCTGTAATTATTCTGCACATATGTAAAAGTATTAAGGTAGAGATACAAAAAATTAGTAGTTTACGAGATAGCTCATATTTTATTCTAGCATATATGGACATGAAGTATCAAATATTTTGTAAATTTTAATTTTTTGGTAATCCTACCTTAATATTTTTAGAACAGAGTAATGAGATGAATCAATCAATATAAAAAAGTGCTTATTTAAAAAATTATTTATTTTATATATTTACATATATATTTTATATATGTATATATATATATAATATGGTATATACATATATAAAATATATATGTAAATATATAAAATAAATAATTTTATATGTATAATGAAAAGATTTAACGTTTAATACAGTGTTATAAAGTCATGACTTACACTTAAAGACAGATACATGATTGTCGAGTACTTTACGTTAGAATAATTTGGAGTGAACATGTATTATGTATATATTCTCGCTAAAGTGTTGCTATATCATATATTATCTTATGTGTGTTTGTAATCTTACGTTGTGCGTTTCGAAATTTTTTGTACGTATAGTAGCAGTATTGACATATGTTTAATAAACTGTATTATTATCGGAAATACAACAACTTCCGATGATACTCGATGCCATCTAATAATGCGAGTTTCTAATAAAAAGATTGTAAAAAAACCAATTGTATCTTTTGGATTAACCAGCAAGGCTATGCGCAGCTAATGCGTTAATAGACAAATTGGAGTGATAGCGCGCAGAGCGAACAACAAATTAAGACTAAAATTAATTAATGGTAAGAATCCTGGTTATTTAAAAATGTCGTCGGTTCTGTCGTTAGACTCTCAAGTGTTACACACAAAGTCTTACACACAAGCGTTTGGAGAAGAGTTTGTTTCTTTATTGATGTAGGAGATAAAGTTTCGCATGTCTTTATATCTGCAAGCTTTTTGACATTTCGGCACTTCCAAAGAATTCTCCTTTTCGTTTCTGGCTGGAGGCTTCATTGAATATGCTTATGGGGATTGTACCTACTCACATTGGTAACGAGTTCTTAACACAGAATCCCGACAGTTGTATTAATGTACGGTACACATACTCGACACAGAATGCGTTGGCGAGTACGATGTATGAAGGGTCGATCCATCAGTTAAAATTAATATAATAACAATTAGGAATAGAAATTACACATTAATGATTTCCTATTATTCATTAGAAATTAGTGTTTAGCCCTCCCCCCCCCCAAAAAAAACACGTGCACACTTACTCGTAGTATTACAAATTATTAATTATAGTCAATGGATCTTTATTGAAATATTTGTATTTTTAGTAATATCAGCATTGACAACATATAATTATAATTTAATCATTAAAATGACAATTTATAATTTATTACAAAATATTATTACATTCAAAAGTCCTTGTAATATCGATTTTTTTCAAGTTTAGTTTGTAGTCGTATTCTATAATTTATTTTGATAGATAAAATGTATTTTTAAATGTATTTTGAAATTTTCATGTGATGGGTCGTCCCCTCTCATATTTTCGAACATGCCCCTGACGGCCTGAGACCAAACTTACACTCATCCACAATAAAAATGAAGCATTTAGTGCGATGCAGCGTAATTAATTAATAATTATCTAAATTTAACATTTAGATTTAGCCGTGCATTAATATTTTATAAGCACACATCTCATATTTAATATGTTTTATTCAAACGGTCTTTAAAAAATTTTGTTTTTTTTTTGGTACTATAAAATTTTTTTATGTACTTATATATAGAAAAAAATTTTCAGAGGACTCAAGATTTCTCTTGTTAAACTTCCTAGAGTTCTTGGAGTTCTCTTATGGCTGTTCTACCAATATAGTTTAATTTTAATCTTGGTTCAATCAACTCTTCATCTTTTTCTAATTCATTAAAAAAGAATGAAGAGTACGTTAAACCGAAATTAAAGTTGATCTACATTAGTGTCTTTTCATTTTATCGTATAATATAATTTAATAAGGATTAATATAATACATAATTTATAATACGATAGTATATATTATATATATATAGTATATATTATATATAGAGTATTAAATATACATGTTATAGTATTTAAAAAATTTTGATATGGTTTTTATATGCTATCGTATCACTGCAATAGTTTACTTAATTTTTTTAAACGATATTTTTTAAACCGCCATACAAAACTTTATTAATGATTTATTATCTTTGTTATCGTTTATTTCCGTGCAAAATTCTTTTTCAATTCATGTTGAGCAATGTTATTGCTCTCAGTCCTTTATAATTTTGAATTACGCTTATTAGTGTCCTGACTATATAAAAGAAAATCTATTGGTACCGATGTGTGCTTATTGTCTCATTATCGTGTCTCCGAGCAAAAAAAAAAAACAACAATTGACACATCGAAAACAACTGAAACCGCGAACTGACGAAGCACAAAAAAAAAGACAAGAAAAAACCAGAGAAAAGCATCTCTTCGCGCACGATGAAATTATTACAATAAAGTATGAGATCGTGTGTGTATGGGAAATACTTTGGATTGTGTGCGCAGAATCAGAGCACAATTATGGGAAGCATCAACCACAACAACCACCGCTACAACAACAACTACCACCTGAGCCACCGCAGCAAATGAGCCTCATTCTCGACGGGGCCAGGCGCAGAACTAAGCTGCACTACGTCGTGGAAAGCGGTCGTTGGGTGTGCGACGTCTGCGGCCGAACCTACAATCGTGGCGATTCCCTAGCCCATCATCGCAGTATACACAGGGGCGACACGATCTGCCCGATCTGTCAGACCGTCTTCACGCGAAAATACACCATGCGCTGTCACATGGTGAATGTGCACGGGGTCAAGTAATAACGGCCGCGGATGTTGCGGGAACGGTGGCATGAATAGAGAAACTCGAGGAACGGCACGTGATCTTCGTACAGAATTGGGCAGGATATTTTAGCGTTGGTCTAATTTTTAACGTCATTCGCGAAAAATTAGAGCACCCAAAAAAAATTTAGGACGCATCCCCTGCAAGACGATAAACCATATAGAACGTATTTACAGGATTGGGAACGTTATTTCATAAAATAACGCATTACCGTTACTGTTACTTTTTGTAAAATGTACAAAAAGTCTCTCGGCATCTGAAATTCGCGAATTTTAGAATTTCTGTTTCGAAAGATTCTGGGAATCTTAAGAGCTCGTTTTAAGATCCAACGAACGGAGTTGATTTTATTGCATATTTGTTCATGTAACAGTTTCGAATTATCTTGACAAGCTGAGCATTGCTGAAATGAATTCTTTGAGTTTTTATACATTTTATATAAAGATTTAAAAAAAATTATTACATAGCATAAAGAAATTTATCTCTAATCCAAACAATATTGCACTGATGAATCAAACATATTTCGATTGATATACCGTAATAATTTGGGAACAGTTTTCATTTTACGATTTTCTCTCATCTCATGAAAAGTTAAGTATCTCAGTGAAAAAAATTGTAGAGAAGTTTTCAAGAATGCATTTTAAAGAGGAGAGGTAAAACTGTAAATTTGTTTTTTAGTTCCGATTCTATGATATTTTGTTCTTAAATTACATAAAATTAAAAATTGGTATTTTTTTTCTATCAAATTTTTTTTAGAAAAAAGTTTTTAAGTAAAGGTTTTTCTTTGAAATTAAAGAATTACAGAAAAAAAGAGAACAAATTCTGTTGCAATATTTTCAATTTGCATAAACTTTAAAAAAATTTGTCAACTTTTCGTGAGATGCAAGAAAATTATAAGCTTGAATTTACAGACGGTAATGTGCATTAAAATTATATATAATTTTATGTTTATATGTATGTGTGTATATATTATATTTTATATATATTTATATAATTTATATATATAAATATACATTAAAATTATATATAAATCATATGCATATACTGAAAGAAATAACATCTATCGCGTTAAATCTACATTTCATCATAATGGCAGAGTAGCAATAAAACAATATTAATGTTATTAATTAAAATGTATCAAGAAATTATTTTCTAAGTCGATTGCACGCAGATTTCTTTATGAGATTTTTATTGACTTTTCATGCGTTTTTCATATCAACGAATGCGTCCACATACATTATTCATTCCATAGATAACAATTTTGATATATGATCATCGACTATTATATCAATGATTTATAGGAATATATTTTATATTTATATACATTATTAAATAATTAATCGTTTTAATGCAAATCTCCGGAAAGAATTTACCATCGCAGAATTTTATTTTCTTTGTGTGGACAAGAATCGTCTTGTTTCTTTAATAATTCAAGATAGATCGGTTGCTTCTTTTGCAGAATATTCACATTCTTCCGTAAACACGAGAAGAATTCGAGATTGTACATATACATGTATAATAAGTATAAAACAGGAGAAAAACTATCTTCTTCCTTCGGCGAACAAAGCGATGTACTTAAATATCATAAAAACGGTATACTCTGCAACTAGACTGATCGTATTAAGTGTAATGTTTTCGATTAATTGCACAAAGGGGGTTACCATGTTACTACACCACTACTTGGCGAAATCAGAGCATCGCGAATAAGCATAAGGTCTAAGCAGCGATTCTTGTTTGAAGCTTCGAGTCCATCAAATATGCATGGTTTGTCAAATATGTATAGTTTTATCTAGGACAGCTTCTTCTAAGCAGCACGAAGTTTCTCCAACGTCACTATTCATTTCGTCCTATCTTGAACGTAATCGTGTACACTTACGAAACGATTATATCACATTGACATCATATACATATAATACATAATATAAAACTGTCATTTATGTGGATGTCGTGTTTCCGTCTCAACGTGAAACTTAGACAATCGTCGATCGCAGTCGTATCGATCGATCTTAATCGTTGAGTATCTAATTGATGTCACTAGTTTCATCAGTAAGAAATTTTAAAGACATTAATACTCTCGGTGTACAGGATCAAATTATGATGATTACTCTTCGACAATTGATAAAATCATGTAATACAGTGTTCTTGAATTGTACATAGGGATGCGTTCAGAAATTCAGGGTATTTTATTTTATTGTTCACCGAATATTAAACAAGGATAAAATGATACCTGCGTGCACCCGAGTGAAATTTCTGAATGCAATCCAATAGTAACCAATGGTGTATAATTACGCGACGTATTAGACTTGAGGATCCGTGAGGATTCCCTTTACGGGGGAATCATTTTTCACTATTATTTTGTTATTTTTCATTACTCTTTATTTTATTGTTTTATATCTGGTGACAATAAATTTGCAGAGATAGATTGCGATATTTTGATTATTAGTGAAAAAATGCCGCCGAATAAATACCTCTCATAACTTTTTTCACAGCATATATAAAAAAAATTTCGGGAATGTTAAAAGATAAGTAGCTTCTAAGATAAGATTTTATTTAAGTTTGCCGTCCTTCTAAGAGAATGATTTACGGCAAAACGAAGTTTCTAATTTATGATGTGATAATTTCCGTTGTAATCGATATAACATACTATATTATGTGTAAATTATGATGCAATAGAATATATAAAAGAGCGCCGGATTATACATTTTTTTGTACTTTGCATTCTGAAAAATAAAGCTATATCGAAACCGTACGTGCATCTTTTGGACCGCGGAGTTATTTTCTTATCGCATGAAACGAGTGAATTTCCGCGATCATTTTGTGAAAATCTTCGATCAACGAACGTAATAAGATTTCAATATAACGAATGCCCGATAGAATATAATTCTTGTCATAACGATAAACTTTAATTTAGATTAAGAATTTCATTTAATTCGAGCAAGTGAATATATATTTCTTAATTATAAGTCACGACGATTGATTAAATAAAAGAAGAAAAGTTTTAATAAAAGGATTTTATTCCAGAACTGATTGTGAGATAATCGAGTCTTTACATGACGTAAAAATGGAATTCGTTATAACGAAATTTTGTACCATTTCTGTACAGTAAAATGTCTCTCACCATAGAACGTACTGAACATATTTTTTTAAGACTGATTTCTCGCTATTAGAAATTTGACGAACGTGAACGATAACTGAAAAAACAATCTGGTAATGTATTTTGTTTAGCGTAATAAATGTTACCAAACATAATAATAGTAACAAACATTAGTTCATATGAACTAATATTATCGTACTTTTCTAATTATTACTGTTTGATAATAGGTAGAAAAATAAGATAATATTTAGAAAGTTAAAATACTGTTTAGTTAATTTTGGTATTAATAGAACATTTGATTGAATTTTATTTCATCAAAGGTTTAGTAATTATTGTCTATGCTTTATTATTATGGTTTTTCTCAGTGTACTTCTTTAGACATGTAAATATGTCATAATTCAGGAATCATCGATTCCTTGCGCACACACGCTGCTCTATGTGTGCTAAAGGTGCTAAAGCATAGCATACGATCCATGTTCGATTAATAGCGATCTCAAAGGAATACATGATTGTCGGTTCACTACACACAACATGCGATTGGCAGTAGATCTCGTGTCTGACGAACCTTGAGCCTGATATTCGGCCCTTCAATCACGACTCACGAACTTGGTCCAGTCAACCCGAACTATATTGTGCATGAATATTGAACATTTTATACGTGTATATTCGTTCTTGTTTCCGTTTTCTTTTCGCTGTTGTTCATATTATGCCGTTGTATTTTATAGTTCACAGTAGCATGATCGCTCCGAGAATATTATAATTACTGCCATTCTGTGTGTCGCCATTCTCGTGATTACTGTCTCTCTCTCTCTCTCTCTCTCTCTCTTTCTCTCTCTCTTTCTTTCTCTTCCACCTGTTTGTAAATCTCACCGTGTGCGTTGCCTTTTTTCTTTTCTCTTTTTTTGTTATTGCTACTGCTGTTATTCTCAAATCCGAGTGAACGAGTGGAAAAGTAGGTAGAGAAACGAGAGTGAGTCGAGATTCTTCCGAGTGTACAAGTAGCTTGCTACTGATATGCGATTTTTCTCAATATTCCTTCTTAATGTCATTTTGACACCTTTGTACTCGCAGCATCACGTGCCGTGATCCACGATGAGGCATTTTTCTGATTATATATACAATAATTTTAATTGATGGGTTTAAAACAAAGAAAAAGGTCCAACAAATTGTCGAGATATTTCTTCTACTTTATTCGATCTTAATTTGAAAATATGCATACACATGTTATGGGGGCAATATAATTAATTCGGGATTTATACATAACGCTTGGCCAATATGGATAATGCCTGCTTTATTAAAGTTTTATTAAAGCGGGTATGTTAACCGGCCGAAACAGGTGTGCATTATGCATATTGACCGGCATTATGCCCGAATTAATCAAATTTTCCGTAACACATATATTGGATATTGCATCAACATATTGATCAGTACGTTGCCTTCTCTAGCAAGCGCGCGTGATCGATCGATTATATTTATAAAATTGATTGATCAATTACATTTTATAAATGTAACGCCTGTTAGAGAAGGCATTACATTTATAAAATAGTCTGATATATTGACCAATATATTGGTGCAACACTCAATACATTGTACAATTAATATTTATTAATAATATTTATTAATAATATTGGAATGTATCCTTTTTATAATAAAAATATAAAATTGAATCATGACGTAGAATTCATAGGATGAAAAATGTCACGTCGTCGATCGTGGGGATATTGTCGCGTCTCGAGTACTCGGGTACAGGTGATGAGCGATCCGGTAGCGCGTCCCATAAGACGAAATCTGGAAGTACTTAGGGCACCGCGAGAGCCGCGCAACCGGCGCCACGACGTAGCATGAACGTTTGTGTCTGATTTAGATTCACACACGGTGGTCATCGAACAGCCGTCGCACGCGTGCAAACTCTGCGGTAAATCGTTTTGGAATCGGGACTCGATGTATAAACACATGAATATGCACAAGGGCACGACCCAGTGCCCGGTGTGCCACAAAGTGCTCAGCCGCACCACGCACATGAAGCGCCACTTGAGGAACCGTCACGGCTGGCTCGGGACGACCGCATCCGTCGCGGCCGGCGGCGTCGAGGCGCCGATCTCCGTGTCGTCGACCGCCCAGACGATCGCCCAGCAGGACGCCGGCAGTCCGTCGAACATCGACACGAACGCGACCTATACGACAATACGCATTAGGGAGAGCAGCGTGGAAAGAATCACCTCTAGTCCTATTCCT